CGTCCTTAGCTAAACCTCTCCCTCCCCAAAATGTCCAGGTAGGCACTGCTCACATATAAAAACCCATATCTGTTTCAGCCTACAATCACGCTGGACATTGTTTGATTGCAAGTTCCCAGTAACAATTGTTTTTGCTGCTTCAGGTGTCGAAACTTCCCAACGGTCTGGTGATAGCATCGCTGGAGAACAACTCCCCGCTGTCCAGTGTCAGTGTGTTTGTGAAAGCTGGGAGTCGCAATGAGACTGTGGAGAACCAGGGCGTCTCTCATGTGCTGCGACTGGCAGCAAACCTGGTAACTTGTGATTGTGTGTTCTGTAGCTGCTTACTGTGTACTTCTCCTGAGTAAATGTACTTTGATAAGCAGTATCTCAGCCATTGGACTGTTATATCTTAACCTGTTTATCACCCACATGCTGTAAAAAGTTGTTGGAAACACTTTGTGTTGTGTTTTAGACCACTAAGCGTGCATCTGCCTTCAAGATCTGTCGTGGTTTGGAGGCACTGGGGGGCAGCCTGAGGTCAGTGACGGTACTATCTGTACATGCACACACTGACAGTCTAAAAATAAATACCAGTGTTACCTTATAGCCCCATTGATACATCTGTGTTGTCACCTGTTTACTTTTAGTGTGACATCATCAAGGGAGACCACCGTCTACACGGCAGGATGCATGAGAGACAACATGTAAGTGCTGCTTTCTTTATGTCAAGCCTTAAATGCTGTTCTACTCCCATGTTGATGACTATGTAAGTGTTAACATGACTGTATCTGTGTGTGCAGAGATTCATTATTTGATTATCTGGTCAACGTGATCACAGCTCAGGACTTTCGGCCGTGGGAGGTGTCCGAACTGACGTCCAGAGTGAAGATCGACAAGGCTCTGGCTCAGCAGTGTCCTCAGATAGGTCGGTAGCAACAGTTCAGCTCTGAACATCCTGCTTTCTCACTGTGGTAATGGAGTCAGTCTGTCATTATGTTGAGTCGAAGGAGAGCAATTGTACGCAAAGGACTTTAGGTTCAAGGCTATCAGAAACATTTGGTAAAAGGTAACGCCTGCACACTTAGTCCATGCCACCAACATTCTTTAAATGACTCTATTAGAGTAATTATTCCACTACTTTACATTTCATTTTATTCTATTTTACAAGTACACATTTGACTTATTCCTTCCTTTACTTGCACAGTTATGTCTCCTGCACCATTATGTTGCACTATTTAATTTATTATTTCATTCATTATATCATTGTATGTTCAGCGGTTCCTGGGACTTTAGATTGTCATGGTCACTGTGCATGCCTGCCGCTGTAACTATTGAGCATTTGACAATAAAGCCTTTAAATCTTTGAATCTTGAAAAGCCATTGGACTTTTCTAAAAAACTAGTCCATGAATTACTGGCAATTCTTCAGTAGGATTGGCTCATCACAGGGTCTCATTAGCTTTACATTTAATGTTAAAAATGCTCAAAGACATAGTAAAAAACATGAAATTCTGTGTTGGTGGTTTATCCATCTCTTGTGACATTTTAAATACTTGTCAAAAAAAACAAACAATTTATTTCCCCCCTTATCATCCCCCTTTAAAAATGCAGGTAAGGGAGACAGAGAGGGGAGGTGAAGAGACATTTGTCACATTACAGAAACTAAACACACTGAATGGAAAACAAGATGTAATTTATGGAGCATGCTAACTAAAGTTCTTGCCGTTTTTTTTTCTACTTTCTCCCGCAGGTGTTATTGAGAAGTTGCATGAAGCAGCGTACAAAAATACCCTGTCCAACTCTCTGTACTGCCCGGACTACATGGTCGGCCATGTCTCTTCTGCACAGGTATGAATCTTATTTATTAAAATATATGAATATATCTGACATAAGCTTTTTTTCTTTTGCTCTAACACACTTTTCTTCTCCTTATCGCCCCCTTGTAGCTGCATTCATTTGTTGCGGACAATTTCACCACTGGGAGAATGGCTCTTGTAGGACTAGGTGAGTGTCACAGCTGATTTTTACAATCCTCAAATGTAGCCTCAGCCCAAACACAGGGGTAGAAACATATAGGCCAACAGAGATACTAATGTAGTTTAGTTGAACATGTAATGAGTGAAACATGCCCGCAAGCAAACACTGCATGTGTCAACATGCCTGAAGTGATTACACATACACTTTTATGGATGTTTTTCTATCCCGGGAATGTAAGGTGTTTTTCAGCTTGTGTGCTCTGTTCCACTTAATTTGCATGTTAACATTAGTTTTGTCTGATTCCTGCGTGCAGGTGTGAAGCACTCTGTCCTAAGGCAGTTGGGCGAGGGGCTCCTGAGTGAGCGCAGCGGGGCGGGAGCGCCTGTGGCTCAGGCTGTGTACCGCGGAGGTGAAGCTTCAGTTTAATAACACATTACCCTCTTAGATTTATCACTGGAACATTGTCATAATGCTATTGTTTTTTGCAGGTGAGCTGCGGGTGCAGAACGCCGATGACCTGGTCCACGCCCTAATTACCAGCGAGGGCGGTGTGACAGGAAGCGCAGAGGCTAATGCCTTCACCGTGTTGCAGAGGATCCTGGGAGCTGGGCCACATATTAAGAGAGGCTCCAACATCACCAGCAAGCTGAGCCAGGGTATTGCCAAAGCCACCACACAGCCATTTGATGTAAGTTTAAAAAAAGAGAGGATATTATTTGGTGTTGTTTAGTTGTAGTCTTACTGTGTTTGCATTAGTTATAAATGTGCTGTCTTTCAGGCCACAGCCTTCAATGCCTCATACACCGACTCCGGCCTGTTTGGCATATATACCATTGCACAAGCTGACTCAGCAGGAGAGGTGATTGACTAATATACTAATTCAAAGATAAATGTTATCCGATCTAAAATCTGCATTGATGCCAGAGTCTACATTTCTCTAAACTGCTGCTTGTGCTCTGTGTAGGTGATCCAAGCTGCCGTTGCTCAGGTGAGCGGTGTGGCAGAGGGAAATGTATCGGAGGAGGACGTCATCAGAGCAAAGTGAGTTCACTGAGTAACGTTAGACAGACGAAGGTGAAGCCTTCTTTGTACCAGAACAATATGATTGACTTCTCTGCTTAGGAACCAGGTGAAGGCAGAGTACCTGATGTCGATAGAGAGCGCAGAGAGTCTGATGGAGGAGATCGGGGCTCAGGCTCTGAGCACTGCAGCGTACCAGCTCCCTGACGCCATCCTCCAGGCCATAGATGGTGTCACCCATGACGAAGTGGTCAAGGTGAGAGTCTCTACTGTAGAGGTGGTGATACTGTTTGTCAAAAGTGAATCATTAAGTTTAGATCTTTTATCAGACATTCCCTTTTGCAATGTATTATTATCAGCAGGTATCTGGTTTCAAAAAAGCTATTACTTGCAAAAAATAAACAGAAGGTGTCTTCAGATCTTACTTTCAGTGAAAGAAAATACTTGAAACATGAGAGGAAATCATCTCAACATGTATTGAGAACAATTAACATAACAAAAACTCAAAGAAGTTGCACTACCAATAAATGCAGAAAGATAATATAATGTGACAACTTTTATTAATTAAGTAAATAGAGTTGTATTGGAGATGTAATTTAGCACTTAAGAAAATGCTTTAAATTAAAGCGTTTCCTATGACCTTTACCTTGACAGGCTGCGAACAAATTTGTGGATGGCAAGAAGACCATGGCATCTTGTGGACAGCTGTTGAATACACCTTTCGTTGATGAAGTATGAAGATAAATCATAAGAACGGTTGGTTTTATTTCTGGCTCGCTGTGCCGGGCTGCTTCAAAAGGAAAGAGGACATCAAAGCCTCCTGCAAACATTCATCTGATGTGACCAATCATGTGTCTGTCCTGCAGTAAGTGCACCAACAAGGACCTGGAGAATCATAATGCAATATCTTTTTTGTTTTCTGTCAATTTAACTGTATATCTATGTAAATTAAAGAACGTGATAACCACTGGCTGTTGCTTGTATTTGTATCTTGAAATGAATCCAGATTTACTTAAGGTTCATGTTTTATCAGGAGAGTTGAGGCATCTCTGTTAAGGCTGTTCAGGCAGCTGGTATTTTCAGCACTTCGAGATGTTGTTCCATTCTTCAACCAATGGAGGGACACAAAAGCACAAACATGACTAAGAAGGATTTAACGTTGCCAATGCTGAACATCCTACATTACATTTTTAGCTGTCCTGTTTTCACTTGTAATTATTTTTGCAGCATTGTTAAGTATAATTCACTAAAGAGAAAAGTAAAACCAGAATGATATACATAAAGAATACAAATAAAAGTACTTTAATCATAAGACTGCATTATCTTGTGTTTTCTGAGTAAAATGTGTGTCTGCTTTCTGGCTCATTGCTATAGCTAAGATAAAAACATTTAATTAATTATTTAAGCATAAAATGACAAGTGTAAACTACAGTCAATGCAAGTAGAAGTAGTACAATGTTAACATTTTAAATGCTGGAACTTGTCAAAAGTTTACTTGAATGATGAATTGGTTATTCAAATTGTTGGCCATTTTTTTGTCCTCTAATTTGAGCTGTATTTCAACCAAACACACTTTTACTTTTGCCCCGTGAGAATGTATTATTGTAGACAAAAGGACAATTTACAAAATATTCAATTAAACATAAAAAAAGTGAGCACAAGCAATACAAGAGCATAAAGCATAATGAAAAAAAAACAACTAGAAGGTTATAAGGTAATCCACCAAAAAAAAAGACATGGTACAGTGTTATTTTCCCATGAAAATGCATAATAACATTTCAAAGACATGTTTAAATAAACTAGAAATAAATTAGAATATTCTCATGGACCATTGCATGAACAGCCTTAGTTCATATTGTACTTAAATGGTTCAAATTCCCAACATTCAGAGGTGCACCCCTGTAGCAATCACCGACCCCCCCAAAAAACTGCCTCCCAGGGCGACTCAGGACACCCTGAACCCCGTTTCTGCGTAGTATCGCGAGAAGACAGTGAGTTGTGTCGCTGCGTGGGGGTGTTCGCCTGATGTCATAAGGCAGAAAGGGAGGCTGGGATAACGGTGGGCACACGGGTGGAAAGCAAAACAATAACGCTACCGCTTTACCGTTCACACAGGGAATAATAACGGCTGTTTAGGGGTTAATTACGCTGCCTTAAATACATTCTCCTCAGTGTGGTCCGTAGAGGAAGAGGAGGAGGAAGAGGAAGTTAACGGACAGAAGGACCAGATGCTATTCCAGCGGAGAACGGGCTCGAATAAGCAAGACACGGTGATGGGTTATCCTGACGGCTAACCTTCGCTTGAAACACGGATACTGCGAAGAGAGGGGGACCTGTTTGCTTCTTCTCAACCTCGCTGTGTGTGTGTGTGTTTGACATTGTGTCTGAAATGCTAGCACAGTTGCGGTGTTGGCCGTCGAGCAGCTTCTGGGCCGCAGCTCGGCACACCGAGCCCGAATCTGGGAACTAGCTAGCTAGCTCTGTGCTAGCCGCAGCTGTACCCGATGCTGCTGTTGCTGCTGCTGCTAAACGGATCCACACAAGAGGTTCGGGGCCCCGGCGCTGAGTGAGCTATTGTTTTATCTTACTGGACTACATCGGGCATTTGAGATGTGATGCTTTTGTGCGTCGTTTTTGAGCCGTTTGTAGCTGGAGGCTCTTGCTTGCTTGAGGAGCTAACGTTGCTGCAAAATGCAGAGCAGAACCACAGGCTCCTGTTGAAGGGGGCGAGGTTAGACTGATAACAGCCCACCCTGTGTCTCTCTACACTCGGGGTCACATTTGGACAACGACCACATTTTTTCCACGTCATTCACTGCTTCCTCATCTGGAGATATGGATAAACTCACGATCATTTCAGGGTGCCTCTTTTTGGCAGCAGATATCTTTGCAATAGCCAGCATTGCAAACCCAGACTGGATCAACACTGGTGAATCAGCAGGTAATGAAGCAGGCCACAACTGTCATTAAGAACTACTGTGATGTTTTGTGTGATTTAAGCAGGACTTCTCGCCACATCTCCCCCCACGCTGCAGGAGCCTTTAGTGTCAGATAATCTCCATAACAAAGATATGCTCTATTGTGTGGAGGCTTTCATCTGCATCAACATCTTTTGTCCGGCTCAGCAGTGTGTTCTCTGCTGGTGTTTGTTGCTTCTTACTGACTTAAACCAGTACTTACAATACCTGAGTGATCAGCATCATAAACCTCTGTTGCTTTAGGGCTGCAACAAAACTTGTTTCCATATGACTTTTGATAAATAGGTGAATTGCTAGTAACTCTTCAAATAGCTTGCTTTGATTAACAGTAACACAAAGAAAACACATTTTTAATTAATAAGGATGTATAATGAAAAAGAGCTGTACATTTGGAGACTCTTTTGCTTCAAAATAGTGCTGAAATCTTTAGTTGAATAATGCATTGTCGGGTATTTATTCGAAGTGATGAATCAACATTTTATCAAGCATTAAAATGCCTTTCTCTTATACAAAACTGTGTAAATAGAATATGTTTGGGGTTTTACACAAAACAACCAGTTAAATCATTTGTCAGTGAGTTAAAGGGACATTATTCAGACTACAGAGTCGACAGTCAACAAATGAATGAATCAATCATGAAATAATCACTGTAGCCTTTTTTCTGCCCACTGTCTAATTGATTAAGCGGCCTATCATTTTAGCACTAAAAGTAAATGCTATGGTGACCTGACATTTGAAGTCACCTCCATGTGACCAATCAGCTGTCACTTGAGGAACCAAAGCAGGTGTTCATGTGTGGCGTCCCTGCTGATTTTGGACAGAAGCACGTGCTGTTCGTACCCTGCTTTATTTGTGTCAGTCCTGAAAACACATTCAGGCTATTGATAGACAGCTGCTCCTCTCTTTGTTCCCTCTGCAGGAGGACAGCTTAGTAACTGGGTCAGGAAGGGTCCATCATACACACACACACGCACGCATGCACGCACACACACACACACACACACACACACACATCCAGGCTGTATTAGCTCCACAGTATCTGTACAAAAGTAATAACAGAAATGAAATGAGGGCATCGTCTACAATGCTTGCCATTTGATTGTATTGTAGAGTTCCCATCTAAAGTTAGTGAAGTAGAGCCGAAACGTGGACAGCTACATCCCATTAACCCTTCCCTACAGATACCCTGCAGTGTTGAGAGTGGGTGTCGTGTTATATAGCAGGTTTCATACAGCCACCGACTTCCACCTCCCTGTCACTCTTCTCACTTCCCCTCACAGCTTTCACAGCACTCTTTGATGATCGTGATGTGACCTGTCTTGGATGGGTTTATGAGACATGAAGGTGATGGAGCACAGACAAACATCCCTCTCTCTTGCTGTATTCAAATACATGATTGTAAACTAGGTTTGAAATCTAGTCAATATTCTGTAGTGTTCCTAGGTTTGGAAAGACAGAGTGCTTGTAAAATATATTTTGACTATAATTTCACCTTGAGAATTTGTTTAGTTTGTCTCCACATTGGTAGGGCATGAGGTGCAATGTAGTCCTATTTTCCTAGTTTTTTTGGCAATGTGAAAATGAATGCATGTTGCTATTATACAGCTGCACATAACTCAGAAATCCATCCTTATGTGCACCTTGCGACAGATCTTAAATGGTCACCCTATGGGTTGAGTGTGTGATCTCACCCTCAAACTTTTGTAGTTATTTGTTAAGCTTAATATTAAACCATAATATTGTATAGATGACAACCACACATCACCTTTTTGAGGGCTCTAAAAAGTGGAAGCTGGTGTAAAAAGAAGCAAAAAGAACAAAGGGATCTATAAATGTACATTAATCACACTGCACGTAAAAAGGACTTTCAATTTAGGTAACAAAATTAATTCTGCTCACACGGCTATAATGTTGGAATACATTTACTTTGTGTGTAATGGGAAATCAGTGTCATGTGCCAGCTCCCCTGCATATTACCTACTTTTACATTTCTTAGTTTCAACCTGTGACCTTGGCTTCTCTTTGTCTGTGCAGCTTGTCAGTTTTTGTCCTGTTATGTCTGGACTTTAATCATGGTCTAGTCTGCATCCTAAATATTGTACAGTTCATATTTAGGGCTCTGCTACAGACTTTAGTTTGATACGTATGCCTCTATTAGCGCTGACATGCTGCTAAATGGCATTCAACCTAATGAAAGTCAAATTTCTTGCAGATATTGTGCATTTGAGTGAAGTAGCCTTTCATGTTTCATAAGCTTGAGTTGTCTACCTCATTCCACAGACTTGTGTATCGTCTGAAGTTCTTATGAAGTAAGGGCCCCTGGCGACTCCCCACATTTTGTTATCTCTTATCGGCTTTGTTGTTGTCTTGTCAGATGGGCTCAGCTTTTGTCAACTTGCCCTTGTTGGACCTCATTAGGCGCGTTCACACCAAGTACTTTGCCGTATTTAGTGCCGGCACTCAGTGCCCCGGCACTTATTACCCCAGGGCATTTAGTGCAGATTGCGTTCACACCGGAGTACTTTTCCCTGAGGGAAGATTACGCAAATGAGCCGCTGACGTCACTTCGTCTTCTTCGGCTTTGGGTTTACTGGCAGGCCGCAAACAACTTCACGGCGTATACTGCCACCCGGAGTCCCCGGCCGGAAGTCCCCGGAGTTGGGGACTGGCTTCAGTAGAAGCTGCTGGGACTCCCAGCAGCTTCTACTGAAGCCTTCCGAGTAAATCGCCAGAACGCCGACACCTCCCCATCTCCACTGCTCCCATGTTTTATTTTGTGTTGCCATAAGTTAGTCTCTCTGCGTTTGTGCGCTGCGCGAATGCTAATGCTAATAATGCTAATGCCAGGATAATAAAATGGCAGCTCTACAAAACATTTCAGAGTTGTACGGGGCGTGGTTTGCAATTCGCCCAGCCAATCAGAACTGGGGCACTTTTTTCCCCCAGGAAAGTATCATCTCTCAGCAGGCACTAAAAATGGGGGTAAAAGTTCCCGAGATTAAGTGCTCTTTTTGGTGTGAACGCGACATAAGGGGTACTAACGGAACTAAACGCGAAAAGTACGGTGAAAAGTACTCCGGTGTGAACGCGGCTATTGTGTCGCGGAGAAACAGACATGTTCTTCTGGGTAGTAAGCTAAAATAAAAGCTGACTTTGCTTCTTGAGTGTAAGGCATTTGCTCCTGTTTCGGTCAAGTAATTTGATCAAAGCCTTTCTTGAGAACAACTCATAGAAGTACACAAACGGAATTATCTTATAGATCTAGAAATGACACAGAAAGAGCCATACCTCAGTGAGAAAGTGCACATTGCGCAGGAAGGAGTAGTAGCATAGCACTGCTGTAACTCAACACAAAAGACAAAGCATGTATCCATGACACTGTCCTCACTTCAGTGTGATATCCTCGGGCTATAACAGCTGAAGTTGATTTCCTGTGCCGAGCTTCAAAACAAAAGCCACTGTGGCTGTAGTGTCAGTCTCGTCACCCAACTGCCCTCCTGCAGATACTTGGCATCAGAGTGGATGTCCTCCTGCAGTCCCTGAATAACCAGGGCTGAACCAAACGTTTTAAAAAATATATTAATCTGAAGATTAAATATATTTTGTCTTATTTTACGACGTCATCAGTAGGGATTTCACTGTACCAGGAACTGAATAGCTGATACTATTATGACTGTACAATTCTCATACACTATTTTTAAAAGCATTGTAATTGGGGCTGAACGATTAATCCATTTCCCATTATGTTGATTTATCTTCACTGGACTTTGTGTTTAGCCCTCCACCATGATCCCCATGGTTAAACCTTCTTTACCAACATAAACTATGAACACTTAAAGCTCCTACTTAGCCTAAAAGTTATATCACTTTGCAAAGTGTTTTTTTTTGTACAGTGTGCTGCTGACTAAAAGAATACTGTTGATAGAGATCGTAAGCCTCATGATAATCGTGACAGTAATATGCCACCCTTTTAAGCACGTAGTTTTTCAAATATAACAGAATACCTTTTGAGCATCTCTTCATCAATGGCTATAAATAATCTCCAAACCAGAATTGTTGCCCTTAGAGTGAATGCTGTTCGGTAATACTTGTGTGATAATGAACAGCCACGTTTATTTTCCACTAAGTACTAAAGAGCAGCATGAGCTCCAATATGCTGCTACAGGTTGTGTTGGAGACGGAGTTCTGATTGTGCCCAAAAACCCAGGCATTGTAGTCAATGACACTGTTTGAGTTAGTTGCTAGATTATAAGTCTATGTTTAGCAAACATATAACATGTAAGACTATACATTGTACAGTTGTACAAAATGCATGAAAAAACTAAAAGGCCCAGGAACAGTATTGTGATTACAATCTGATGTCAAAAATATTAATTGGAGGATATTAAATGGTGTTATTGTAGATTTCTCTTTTAGAACACACACAGTGGCATTGATGCAAAGCAACTGAACCAGGCCCAGCCAATAATATCCAGATCGGCAGCGTCAGCGGTTACACTTCTAAACTTATTTCCAACCTTGGTCACCAACAAGAAAGGACAAAAACATCAGCATTGGTTCCGAACCGCAAATGTGACTGTTCTGAAATGTAGTTTTTTGTGTTAGATGTAAAGGCCCTGACACACCAAGCAGTCACCAGAGAACTCGCCGACGCCGACTGTTGCGTCGCCGTGTTCTCCTGCGTCTTGGTCATGTGTCGCACTGGAACACACCGCAAAGACTTCAGCCGAGCACGTACAAACTGCGCATGCGTGAGTGGCAATAACTCTCCTTACCAGCAGGCGGCGGTAGTGTGTATTCGTCATTCAAAAGAGGCAACAACCGGAAGACAGAGAAGAAGAACAGACTGCGTGATATAAACAAACAACAAATAGCATGTGCGTTCCATTTTCACTCTCGTCCATCGAAAACATGTTTTGTGCGGTACTGGAGCTATCAGCCATTGGAGTGTTGCTTGTGGAAG